GGTCTGTACCTTGCGGGGGTCCAGGCTCACCCACCAGCCACTCTGGTTGCACACGTGCGTCTTGCTCTTCAGCCTGAGCAGGGTAGGCGTGCTTGGCCGGGAGTGGGGAGCCTGTCAGTGCATCGCTCCTCGGCCTCCCTGGTTACCTGGGACTGACCATGTGGCTTCGTGGGGATGTGAGACTTTATTCCCAAATGGAAACAGACACTTCCTGATGGTCCCTCTATACAGGCCCAGCTTGTCACCGTGCATTATCACATTCTAATTATTTAAAATCTTGACTCCATTTGGGGAGTGTGCAATTTGGGCACAGAATAAATACATTTTCCACACCTAACTGGCAGCTGCCCTTTCATGACACACATCCTTGGATTCAGCCAGCTGTGGGTAGAAAATATTCAGGACAAAAACCCTGTATCGAACACGCACAGGCTCTTTTCCTAAGCAATACAGTGTAACAAGGACAGGCCAGTACTGACCTTGCATTAGGTACATGAGTCTTCCAGACAGGATCCGAGGCCTGCGGGAGGATCGCGCAGGCTCTAGACAAATGCTACCCTGTTTTATATAAGGGACTGGACACCTGTAGACTGGGGTGTCAGCAGAGGGTCCCGGAACCAGTCGCTGTTACACCCCTGTAATTCCTTCTTCCTTTCTTTTTCCTTCCTTCTCTGTCTCCCCCAACCCCTTTCTCTCTTTCACGAGTGCCGGGTTCTGAGTTTTGACAAACACATAGTCTGGTTCAGCCATCATGAGACGCAGTGCACTTCCATCAGCCCAGGTTCCCTCTGGCTCCCCCTCATCCTGAGCCACTCTTCTCTCTCCCAGCCCATGGCAACCGCTGATCTGCTGTCTGTCACTGTATTTTCCCCCCAGAAAGTTGCACAAATAGCAGGTCTCACTTTGTAAGTCAGGTTGAGCTTGGACGTGTATCTGGGTGGTCTTTCGCGTCGGGCTGTCTGCAGGCAGCAGCGGCCGGGAGACTCGGCTGCACTGCTCTGTGAATGCAGAGCTTGGTCCTGTTGGTGACAGTGTGGCTGTGCGGAGGCACCACAGCTAGATGGTCTTTGAGGATGTATCCAGTTGGGGTGACCAAGGATCCTGTCCTGGACAGATGAGCTAACACCTCGTGACGTTAAGTCTGCTTGCTTACAAATGTCTTCCAAAGAGACACATGGATTTTTATCACAATGTATGAGAGTTTTCCCACACCCTCACTAGGATAAGGTACTTTCAACGTTTTTGAACTTGATCTGAGAGGTGAAACTTACTTTCTACTATTCTCTATTGCTTTTCTCTCGTAACTGAGATTTGAGCATGTTTTCCTGTCTTTAAAAGTCATTTTCAATTTTGTTTTAGAATTATCTCACCATGTCCCTTGCTCACTTTCTCAATGGGTCTTGGACCCTTTTTTATTGTTTCACCAGAATTCTTTACATTTGAAGGAAATACAACCTTTATCTATTGGATATCTTGCCTGTATTTTTCCCTGGTTTGTTGTTGACTTTTAGGTCATGTTGATGATATTTGCTGCCTTGTGGAAAAATTTAAAACTTTAATATGCCAAGAATGACCCTGTTCCTTTCTTTATGCTATTGGGGTTCTCATGTTACACAGTAAGGCCTCCAACTCCACATCCTCAAACCCAGCCAATCTTAAAATGAAAATATATATATATTTTAAATTGCATGTGTCCTGGACATTTATATATTTTTCTTGTCATTATAACCTAAACAATGCAGTGCAGCAACTATTTGCATAGCATTTGCATTGTCCTGGTATTGTAAATCATGGCAAGATGATTTAAAGTCTACAGCAGGCTGGGTGCAGTTTCTGTGTCACTTTGCAGGAGGAACTTGAGGTACATTTGATGCCTGCAGGGGGTCCTGGAACTAATCCCCAACACATACCAAGGGAAGACTCTCTTTAAGGCAAGGTGGCTAGAGCAGAGTTCCTTGAAAACCGTGAGAGTTTCTTTCCCGTGAGAGGTTCCGAAATATCTCCTCACCCACTTCGACCTTGGACTCCAACCATGGCAGAGTCTCTTCTACAAACTCCCAGGCTGACACCCTCTGAGCTTCACAGATCCTCTTATCTGGCAAACCAGCACTCCTCCCAGGCTCAGGGCAGGCATGACTAATCCATCCCAGGATTCTGGGCAGACATTACCTGAGGCTGGGAGTAGCCCTTTGCCATGTCGCTAAGTGCCCCTCTTTTGCCTCGTAGTACTACAAAGAATGGTTCCTGCGAACCTGGAAGGGCTGAACCTCCAGTGTCTCGAGGAAAGGACACCAAGGACCTCAAGACAGACATGAGTGAAACGCAAGGTATGCCGCCCGAGAGAAGTGAGGGGGCACGTTGATGGCACAAAGGGACCAGCCGCCCCTCTCAGCCCTGCTCAGCCCGTCACCACTCCCAGTGGAACACGGAGGAAGTGGTGGGCGGCGTGAGCTGGCCCCAGTTCACAGTCTGAGTTCAGAGTTCAGGAGTCCAGCCACGCTGGGCCTCATTTGCATGCCCAGGTCACTCAGGCACTGATCGTAGCTCCTCCCCCTCAGGATGGTGGGCCCGTGTAGGGCCAGTGCCCAGGAGCCACCCAGAGTCCCGATGATGTGGCATCGTGAGGTGATGTCCGCCGAGCGAACCCCGGGCCTCGAGCCATCATCCAGACCTGCATCCACCCTCACAGCTCTGTGTGCCTTGCAGAGCGCATAAAATGGTGGCCCCACGATGACTCGTGGTCCCTCCTTCTCAATCAGCAATGAGCTTAGAAACCATGTGTCCGCCTCCCAGGCTGTCAGAACAAAGCGACCCGGAGCGGGCGTCTGAGCCCCCAGCAGTGGATGGCCTCCGGGTTCTGGAGGGCGCAGTTCAAAGCCATGGTGTAGGCAGGGCCTTCAGAGGCTCCGAGGGAGAATCCGTGTCAAGCGTCTCCCGGCCCCTGTGGCTGGGGCCATCCTTGGGGTTCTCTGGCTTGTGGGCACACTGCTCCAACCCCTGTGTCTCAGTCCGTTCAGTGAGACTAGGAGAATCATAACAGAAAGAGGTTGGTTCATGTTCTGCAGGCTGGGAAGCCCAAGATTGAGTGCGTTCACTGGCCAGGGCCTTGTGCTGCGTTGTGACATGGCCGATGGCGTCCATGGTGGGGCACGTGAGAGCAGCAACTGGGCGCAGGCGAAAGAGGCAGAACACGGGCGGGGCCTTGCTCCGGAACAGCCCACTCGCGTGGGACTAAAACAGGCCTGCGAGGGCAGGGTTCGCTCACTGCTGCTTGCACTAACCTGGTCCCCCGAGAACGGCATCGACCCCTCTCACTGGCCCCTCCAACACGGCCGCCGTGACCGCACAGTTCAACACGCGCTTTGGAGGCCACCAGCTGCTTCCAATCATAGCACCTGCCTCTGGGTGCGCATGGCCCTCTCCTCTATGTCCTTTCCCCTTTGTGGGAGGACAGCAGTCACTGGAGTTGGCCATCACCCTACATCCACGATGTTTTCACCTCAAGATCTTTAACCAAGTCCACCTGCAAAACCCCTGTTTCCAAATAAGGCAAGGAATATTCCCCTCCCTCCATGGCTTTGCCAAACACGAGCTTATGTCTTGCCCCGCCACATGTCTGCTGTTAGGGCAGGGGCTTCTATTTTTTTTTTTTTTGGTACCAGGGATTGAACTCAGGGGCACTCGACCACTGAGCCACATCCCCAGCTCAATTTTATATTTTATTTAGAGTCAGGGTCTCACTGAGTTGCTTAGCAGCCTTGCCATTGCTGAGGCTGGCTTTGAACCTGCGATCCTCCTACTTCAGCCTCCCAAGCCACAGGGATTACAGGCATGTGCCACCGCGCCCAGCAGGGGGCTTCTCCTTGACATAAGCTTTCTCCATCTTTGTAGCAGAATACAGCAGAAAGAGCCCAAGAGTGACATAATCCATCACTGGCCAAAGCACATGGAGTCACTTGGTGTTAATTTACCTTAAAAAAAAAAATCCATGTAAATACAGGTTGAGCATCCCGAACCTGAAAATCCCAAACCCAAATGCTCCAAAACCCAAACCTCATGAGCACCAACACCACACCCCAGGAGGAAGATCCCACACCCGACCCCACACATGGGTGGCCGCAGAAATGCAGCCGCACCACAAGCCCAATGCAAAAGGACCTTCAGTCTGTGTGCGTGCATGTGACGCCTAAGGGAATTCTGTGTCTGGATTTGGGTCCCATCCTCAAGACACCTCCTTAGGTACAGGCAAATATTCTAAAACCCGAAAACAACCCAAACGTCGGAAGCATTTCTGTTCCCAAACGTTCCTGTGACGTGGAACTCCAGTTAATGGTTCAGAGGCAGAGTCATTTAAGGCTGAGGTGGGTGGGTAGCTTCAGCTCAATTTGAAATGCAGCCGGATATGGAGGATGGGCGCGTCCTGGGGGTGTGTGATAGGCCAGCTCTGCAAAATGCCAGCTGCAGTGGCACTTAGGTGGTGGGTAAGCGGGCGTTTGCCATAGTTTTTCCACTTTCTTACATGCTTGAATTTTTTTATAATAAATTATTGAAAGGGACCATCAAAAATAAATAATTGAGCCTGGCGCGGTGATCCACGCCCGTTATCCCAGTGGCTCAGGAGGCTGAGGCAGGAGGATCGTGAATTCAAAGCCAGCCTCAGCAACTTATCGAGGCCCTAAGCAAGTCAGCCAGACCCTGTCTCTAAATAGAATATTAAAATGGGCTGGGGTTGTGGTTCAGTGGTTGAGTGCCCCTGGGTTCAGTCCCTGGTAGCCAAAAATAAATAAATAAATAAAAACTCATAAAGGAGAGCGGGAGCTCTGACCACTCATTTTTACCCAAGGAGGGTACCTTGGTCTCCAAAACCCAGTCACCCCTCCCGAGGTGCTCCGTTAATGAAGTCCCCCCACCCAACCCCTTGGCTGTTCACAGGTCCTACCAGGTTGTGGACCACCTATCGAGATGGAGAAGTCCTCCTCAGGCTGTCGGAACACGGGCCAGGCCACGAGACCCCGATGACCACCCGTGAGCTTTTTCAAGAGTCAGTCCAACGATTCGGCTCCTACCCGGCTCTCTCATGGAAGGATGACGAGAAATGGGAAACTCTGAATTTCTCCCAGGACTACCAAGGTTGCCGGAAGGCCGCCAGAGCCTTGATCAAGGTGAGCGGGTTTGGACCACACGTTCAGCGGGGTCCACGTAGGGGGATCTGGCACTAAACACCGAAGCTCTAAACATGCAAGAGTTAATTGATGGAATTGCTCCCCACAGCCCTTGACCCTCAGCCACCCGGGTTCGCTGTGGAGGAAGCCACCATTGCCAGTTTTTTTGCATGTCCTTTTGGGGAACAAATCATATGTCTATATCATACAAGTTTCATGTTTGCACAGTTTTACACCCAAGGTTCTGAATCTGGCTTTTGACCCTTATTATGGCATCTCAGTGTATGAGTCAGTCACTGCTACATAACAAGTTATCCTACAGTGAACTAAAATGACAGATGTTTGTTACCTCCCATGAATCCAGGGCCAGCTTTGCTGGGTGGCTGTGGCTCAGGGCGCCTCCTGAGGCTGCTGACAAGCTGTCCAAGTTACTTATGTGGTACCCAGAACAAAAGGGCGTCTCCCTCAAAGACAGCCAGCTTCATCAACTTTCCTGGGTCGTTATCAGCCACATCTGCAATAGGCCTGCACCTCTAAGTGTGCAATTCATCACTATATGATGTTACTCTCTTGAGTACTTTTGTTATTAGACATAAAAATAATTTCACATCTATTCAAACGTCCACACACATACATGTACATATATACATATGTGTGTGTGGTTTTGGTTTTGGGGTTTTTGTACTGGGGATTGACCTTGGGGGAGGGCCTCTGTTGCTGAGACAGGGTCTCACTAAGTTGCCCAGGCTGGTCTTGCACTTGCCATCCTCCTGCCTCAGCCTTGTGTCTCTGGGATCACAGGTGTGCACCACCACGCCCAGCGTAGGGTTTTAAAGAAACCATAAAATAACACGTGTTGGTGAGGACGCAGAGACACTGGGAACCTTGCACGGTTGATGGAATGCCCATCTGAAAAAGAGTACGGCGGTCCTTAGGCATTAGACCTGGGATCCCCATGTGTCCAGCAGTTCTGTTCCCGGGGGATATCCAAGTTGAAAGCAAGGGCACAGGGAGGTATTTGTGCGGCCGTGCGCTCGCCACAGCCATTCACAGTGGCCAAGCAGCAGGGGGTCCAAAATGGGGGATATCATCCAGACAGAACATGGGAGTGCCGCGGCATGAGTGACCCAAGGCACCCTGAGCAGCGAGCCATCAGTCACAGAAGGACAAATGCCGCCCGGTCCCACTCCCGGGACCCCCACACACACACCTGTGTCTTCAGAAGCAGCACGGTGGGAGCTGGGGCTGGGACTGGACAGGCGCCACTGTCAGAAGGGACAGAGCTGCCAGATGGGGAGAGGAGGAAGCTCTGGAGATGGACGCCCTGGACGGCAGAGCCCTGGACGGCACACGGTGAAGATGGCTCATATTCTGCCACAAAAAAATAAAAAGATAGACAAATGGAGTGTCACACAGGGAGAGGCAAACCCACCTCCCAGAGTCGCATTTCAGTCGTGACACTGACTACTTTTGAGCCCACTTCTCACATCCTGGTGATCACGGCCGACGAGCCCTCTGACTCACGCTGCCTTCCTTTCCCTTCCAGCTGGGCCTGCAGCGGTTCCATGGGATTGGCATCCTGGGATTCAACTCGGTCGAGTGGTTCATTGCAGCTCTTGGCGCCGTCTTGGCAGGGTAAGGCACCGCCCTGGTCCACTGGGAGTGTCGGGGAGCCACTGCCCTGGGCCTGGCAGTGATGGCCGGCCCCAGGTTAGCGGGCAGGAGGGACCCACGCACAAGTCACTCTCATCCCGGGTCAGGTGATGATGTTCCTTAAGCCAGTACATTTTTTCCTTCAGTGAGAGAACTCTGTTCAAAGTAGTGATCACAGATAACATCTAGAGACTTCTGACCACGGGCCAAGCACGGTGCTCTGTGTGTGATCCGATAAAATCTCACGGAGCAATGTGAAGTGGGCCCTGCCACCCCACAGGCACAGATGAGAGAGCCAAGGCTCACAGAGCCAGGGGCAGAAGGGCCAGCCCCAGACCCAGGCTCTTGGTCAACTGCACCCAGAAAACCCCTCGTTGTGTCCCTCCGGCTGCGTAAGGCCTCATTTATTCATTTTCATTTAATTTGTATTATGATAAAATGTGTATAACATGGAATTTATATTGTCCTGTCTCCAGAGGAAACTTCTCTGCCAATGGTGGAGTTATGGGGGGCCAGGACGCCCTGGAGTTAAGCTCCTCATGGATGGGGACTGTTTAATTCACCTTTGGGGCATAATTTACCAGATGATGCAGTAGGTATTTCATAAATGGTGACCATCTGTATGGTCAAGTGAAAGTCCGTGTGAAGTCCTGTGTGTAAGGGGTAAGCCTACAAATAATCCCTAAAGGAAAAAGACCAGCCATCTTTGTCTACACCGGGTTTTTCCCTCCTGGCACTGACGACCTCTGAGGCTGAACCGTTCTCTGTGGTGGAACATCCCAGGCCATCCCTGGTCTCCACCCTGGAAATGTCAGCAGTACCCTCAAGTTGTGACAACCATAAATGTCCCCAGGATTTCCAAGTGTACCCCGTGGGACAGAATCACCCGTTTAGACTCCCCAGGTGAGGGGATGCCATGGATCCCGAGAGACTCTGCATCCCGTGATCATTTGCCCTACTGAGGTCCTTCGATGCTGCCCGTCAAGAGTGAATGTGGTGTCCAGCGTGGGCACGGATGGAGCAGCCAACACAGGAAACTGAGGTCGATGCCAAAACAGACATGGCATGTACACGTGTGGGCATCAAGACCTACACACTCTAGTGTGTTCTACTTCTGAATTTCATACGAGCATATATCAGTCCTGACTTATTAGTGTGTTGGAATGAACTTTAACAAAGAGTCAATTTGTGCTTCAGGACAGTGTGGTGAGACAGTGTGGTACGTGGGTGGGCTCTGGTCGAAGAGTGCAGCTGAGTTTAGAGCAATTGGTCTTCCCAAGATCTTGTGTCATCTGGGAAAATGAGGATGATTTCAATATACCTCCAAGCCTCACAGGATTAAGCCCTTCGACAGAGCCTAGAATAATGCATGCCTGCAAACAGTGATTAGGGTAACTATTTCACATGATTATAACCTGCATGATTTCCTGCACAATCTAGCAGCCCAACTAGATCAACAGAGCAGAGAGCCCAGAAATAGACCTACATATGCTTGGTCACTGACTCTCATAAAAAAGCACCAAAGTAATCCAATGGTGCTGGATGTGCACATGGGAAATGTGCCAGCCTTGATCCTTACCTCACACCATACACAAACTTAGACTGAGGTAGGCTGTAGACCCAATCACAAAAGCTAAATTCTAAAGCTTCGGGAAAAAGGCAGCACAGGAGAATATCTTCACAACCTGGGGTACCCAAAGTTTTCTTGGGACACAGAAAGCAAAATAAAAATAAAATAAAAGGCTGACAAATGGGCTTTGTTAACATTAAAAATTTACATTTTTGACTCAGTAATACCATTTCTAATCATCAATGCTAGGGAAATAATATAAAACAACAAACATAAGTGATGATGTTAAAAGAAATGTGATTTTCTAAAAAGAATGACAGGAAATAACTATTCTACAAGTAGAGAAATTGGCTTTTTTAAAAAACTTGGCAAAAAAATTTAAAATGATTCTAAAGTAGTGAAGAATACACCATGTACATATATGTAATCCTAGTTTTACTATTACATAACCATGAGGACATATACCAGTTATTTACATCTGTTAACACAAAGTTTCCTCTATGCAAAAAGTGAAGCTGATAATAATACCTGAAAGTTGTTGTAAAGAGGAAATAAAAGATACTTTAAGCATATAGTAAGCCCTGTAAGTTTTGGTTATTATAAGAATATGATATTCATTATTATTATGGCCACGTAAAACCCATAAATTTGTAAAACAAAAATGCAATAGAACAAAAATAAATAAATAAATTATAAAAAAATAAAAATAAAAATGTCTGCTCATCAGAAGGCACCAAAAAGAACATGAACAGGCAAGCCACATGCTTGGAGAAAATATTCATAAAACTCGAACCTACCAGAGAATTTGTATCTAGAATGTACAAAGAAATTCCATAACTCTGTAAAAAAAAGACAAAACTTTTAAATGGGTGAAAGACTTGAGCAGAAGTAGCACAGAGAAGTAGCCCATCCATACTGGGAAAGATGCTTTGTGTCATCTGCCATTTAAATGCACACAAAACCACAATTGTATGTCACCAGCAAGGTCACACGTGAGAACCAAAGACAGTAAGTGGAGAAGGAGCCGAGGCCTGACCCCTCCTTGCCATATAACCTTGAGCAAGCAGCCCCTGTGCTGGCCTCTTCTCTCTTGTTGGTACAGTGGGGTGTTGTCAGGGGTCTGTGATCCACTGTCATGGTGACAACGTAGGAGTTCCCACTCATCATGGATGTCATTTCTGTTGCTTTCAATGTGGTTAAGCTGGTGCTGAGACTGTGACCTCAAAACTCACCTGCAGACTCTCCTCTGCCTGACCTCCCTGCCCGCTCACCGCCAGGGGAGTGAGCACATGCAAATGTGTTTTCTCTCCCCAGGGGCCTCTGGGTTGGTATTTATGCCACCAATTCTGCCGATGCTTGTCAATATGTCATCTCGCATGCCAAGGTGAACATTCTGCTGGTTGAAAACGATCAACAGTTACAGAAAATACTTTCGGTAAAGCCTTACCTAGCACTGCGCGCCATAGCCACCCCGGAGACCTCAGGGCTCTGGCCAGGCCTCATCTGACTCCCTGGTAGATGCTAATGATTGAGATGGGGGTTCCCCCTGAAATGGGCTCAGGAAGAGTCCTCCATGACCACACCAAGGTCCGGGTGAAGCTGCTTTTGTGGAGGCAGCAGATTGAGGGGGGTTTAATTTCCAATTAACAGTAACTGAGTTTACGGCTCAACCTCCACGTAAAAAATGCATTTATGCATTATTTTATAGATGCCATTTTATTTTACAGACACGATTTATTTTTTCTTTAGGAGTGTGATGATTTCAAGTCCACGCTCCCTGACATTTTCTTCATTTCTTATCACTGTTTTCATTTCTGAAATGACTTTGCTTTTCTATTTCTTTCCTGAGTTCTGCCACTTCCTGTTTCATTTTTTCCCCCTGGTGACAGGCCCTTCCTTCCCTGAGCACCTGAATGTCTGCTTTGTGCTCTTTGCTTCATTACCTTTTAAATTTTATGCTGGAGAGCTGGATTGCAATTTTCTTTCACTTTGTGGTGAAATTTTCAGGTGAGTTTTCTCTGTGTGCAAGGAAATTTAGCTTCTCTTCTTCTTTTCTTTTTGTAGTATCTTTGTATAAATGTTGTAAAAATTTGTTTGAACGAGCTGCAGTTTCCTGCATCAGCTTTTGGCAGGAGGATCCTGAAGGTAGGAGAGTCCTGGGAAGAGACTTCTAGGCAACCAAATTCCTCATTCAGCTCAAAAGCCTCTGAGTCACACAGCTCTTCACTTGTAATATCTCTAGAGAACAGACGTGTCTTGCCATTGATGGCATCTTCTGATCACGTCGATCATGTGTTTTCCCATGCCGAAATTCAGGCACACTGTCCAGACTCAACAAACTCCCAGCTAGAGCCGCTGAGATTCCATACCAGGGTTCAGGAATGACAGACAGCTCCAGCCTTAAGCTTCTGGGAATTGCTTTCTTAAGTGCTGCTGCTGTAGTCTCCAATACCCATGTCACCGCTGTTTGTTCACACTGTGGCAGGGGCCGGGGTGATGGTGGGTGGGTGGGTCCTTCCTCCTGCCATGCATATTGGCTTAATGTGAGTTTTCTGTCACTGAAATACGCCACATGCCCTGACGGTTCCCTCTACAGCTCCCTGGATGCCATACCTTACAGCCCTGATTCTGGCATGCCTGGCCTCCCATGCGTAACAAGTTGTTTCTGTTCCTAGTTTTGTGGAAGGCGCAGTTCGGGAGAGACGGATTTGTTGTTCTAGTTGCTCTGTGTAAAAGATTCAAACTGGATATCAAGCTCAGCTGGAGAGCGTTGATTTGGGCCAATGATCATGGCCCTCCTGTGATCATGACCCTCCACCCCCAGAGGTTTCCTGTCTCCTTGCCTTGGCCTCCCAGGCTCCACCCCGCTGGCCCTCACCACCCTTTCTTGCTTCCTTCCCTGTCACTGTCCTGGTGTCCCCTCTGGCCATGCTCTCTGGGGTCCTCAAACTCCCTAGGCTGGGCCTCTTCCAGGCTGCTGAGCATCTAGTTCTTCCCCCTGGAAAACTCTTGCCTGGCTGTCCCACCACCAGCTTCTTGTCTGAGCACAGGTCATGCCGGAGGTGGCTCTTTCTCTGGGCTGGCTAGATAACGCCATAAAAGTGCCCTCCTTTGCACGAACAGGCTGTAGGAATCGCACCAGTCGCCTGAACCGTACAGTCCTAGGCACAGCAGCCGGCTCCCAGCGTGTCCAGTGCCAGCCACCTTCATGAAGAATTTTGTTGCCTAGGTTAGGGGAATCCTGCTGCCTAGTGCAGGTCGCTGGAAAGGGGAGAACCAGGACATGCTTAGCTCGCCCGCCAGCGTCCGCCACGCAGAGCAGCAGAACGGCCTGAGAAGCGCCCGGCCGCAGGCGGTGGTCTTCATCCACTCTTGCCCGTTGCAGGCTACTACTGATGTGACCCCAAAGAATCCCGTAGCCCAAACCAGCCATGACAGAGCAGTGCTTTGCAGTGAGGGTGGGGAAAGACAAGAGGCTGGAGCTGCTTCAGGACAGAGCTGAGACTCTGCCAGCCTCAGCTTCCCCAGGGCTGGGTGGCCACAAGCCCCACAGGGAACTTCGTTTCAGATTCCACGAAGCAAGCTGGCGACCCTAAAAGCGATCATCCAGTACAAGCCTCCACTGAAGGAGAGAAGCAACAACCTGTACTCTGTAAGTGGGGGGGCGGGCGCTGGGGAGGGGGCTGGGGCCTTGCCAGGGAGGTGGGTTAGCCCGTCCAGTGGGCAAGCAGAGAAGGGGGTAAGGGAAGTGGAGGGTCATGAGGGGGGAGTGAGAGGGGCTGTGCTGCGGAGTGGGTGGGGCCCTGCTGGGGAGTGGGAGGGACCATGCTGGGGAGTGGGAGGGGACCATGCTGTAAAGGGGTGGGGCCATGCTTGGAAGGGATGGGACCATGCTGGGGAAGAGGTGGGACCGTGCTGGGGGAGTGGATAACACCATTTAGGTGGAAAGGGTGGAGCCATGCTGGGGAAGGGGTGGAGCCATGCTGGGGAGTAGGTGGGATCATGCTGGGGCATGGGCGTGGCCATGCCCTGAGACCTAGACCTGGTAAGGGAAGGGGCGGAACTCTTAAAGGAAGTGGGCAGAGAGCAAAGGAGAGGCTGGGCCTTGCAGAGGGATGGGTGAGGCTTTATCATGGAAGTGGATGGGACCCTGTAACGGGAAGCTGGGGGACCTTTGGGACTCTTTTTTTCTTTTGCAGTGGGAAGGTGTCTGTTCTGGTTACTTATTGTTGGATAAGGACACATCCCCAAAGTTGGTGGATTAAAACAGCAACAATCATTTCATTTTTTTTTTTCCAGAACATGAAGGTGGTTGAAAAAATACCAAAAAATTGAAAGTTAGATGTATTAAAACACATTTTTAAAATTTATTTTTATGAGTAAAAATTATGCATATTTATGTTTTACAATATGATATTCTCGTATATGTATATACTATGGAATATCTAAATCAAACTATTTACCATATAGATTACTTTATTTTTTAAAATATTTATTTTTTAGTTATAGGTGGACACAATATCTTTATTTTATTTTTTATGTGGTGCTGAAGATCGAACCCAGTGCCTCATGCATGCTAGTGGAGCGCTCTACCTCCGAGCCACAACCCCAGCCCCTAGATTACTTTAAATACTTGGTTTTTTTTGTGAGAATACTTTAAGTCTAAGTGATTTTCAAATATACAACTCACATTATTATTATTTTTATATTTTTTTGTAGTTGTAAGTGGACAGAATGCCTTTATTTTGTTTATTTTTTTGTGGTGCTGAGGATTGAACCCAGTGCCTCACGCATGCTAGGCAAGTGCTCTACCACTGAGCTATAGCCCCAGCCCTGCAACTCACATTATTTGAAAGTTAAATATTTTACTGATACCCAAGCCATAATTTATTGTATGTATATATACATATGTGTGTGTGTGTGGTTTTAACAACAGATATAAATTCATCTATAATTTTTATACCTTTATTTTATTTATTTATTTTTATGTGGTGCTGAGGATCAAACCCAGGGTCTCACACATGCGAGGCGAGCACTCTACTGCTGAGCCACAACCCCAGCCCAATAATATTTTTTATTAAAACCATTTACTGTGTCTGGGGATATAGCTCTGTGGTAGTACACTTGTCTAACACGCAGGAGCCCTGGGTTCCATCTCCAGTTCCACAGAAGATAAAAATAAAACCACTGAAGCTCAGCGCAGTGGCACATACCCGTAATCCCAGTAGCTAGGGAGGCTGAGGCAGGAGGATTTCAAGTTCCCGAGCCAGCCTCAGCAAAAGTGAAATGCCAAGCAACTCCGTGAGACCTTGTCTCTAAATAAAATACAACATAGGGCTGGGGATATGGCTCAGTGGTCAAATGCCCCTGAGTTCAATCCCCAGTCCCCCCCCCAAAAAAAAACAAACCACTGACCACTTTAAAATATGTAAAAGAACATATATCAGGCGCACACAGTTTTCTTTTGGCTGCAGGTTCTGCTATGGCTTGGACCCAATGGTCCAGTCTTTATCTAAAATTTTGATATAGGCATCAGAGTTTTTGCATTAATAGTGACTTTTGAATTGCATTGTAACGTTATTTATCTTGATTACCAAGGGGCGTGTGTGTCTTAAATTCCATGCCCTACCCAGCCCTAGTGCTCACCCTGTTCTCAGCTGCGACTCCTCCAGCCTCTTTCCCCGTCTCTTTGTGCCTTCACCATATGGCCTCGGCAGCTCTGACCATGAGACCCCAGACTCATTTGCTGGTCGGTTTCCCACAGAGGATGTCTTGGGAGGCAGCTGGCCAGGTGGACACTGCCTTGCCTTTTATGACCTGCCTTGGAAGCGGCAGAGCCAACCCAAAGCTCTGCCAGGAACCACAGGGCAGGGCCACCATATCTCACCGAGGGAGGGGCAAGGCCCCCAAAGAGATGTGACACCATAAATGGCATCAGTGTCACTTTTGGAAAACACACTCTGCCACCACTCCTCCCCCTCCTCCCCCTCCCCCTCCTCCTCCTCCATGAATGGATTCTGTTACCGCTGGGAACCTCCGCAGGAGTGGGTCCTGAAATCATTCCCATTTCACAAATGAGGAAACTGAGGCCCAAAGAGGCGACGGCACTGGGAAGCGCAGAGCTTTCCAAGGCCCCACCTTGGCGGGGGCCAGCCAGTGGGTGGGTCCCCCGGAGCCGGCGGGCCCCCATCCTCGGCTGTCTTGTCCACCCACAGTGGCATGACTTCATGGAACTTGGCAACAGCATTCCTGACACCCAGTTGGACCAGATCATCAAGACCCAGAAAGCTAATCAGTGTGCGGTCATCATCTACACCTCGGGGACCATCGGCCTCCCCAAGGGCGTCATGCTCAGTCACGACAACGTAAGCGCCAAGCCCTTGGCTGTGGGCGGCGGGCGGGGTGGGTGCTCCGAGCGGGGGTGAGACGGGGCTTCAGGGCAGACCTGTCCGAGGCCTGACTCTGCAGTCTCGGGCCGGCCGTCCCGGTCCCCAGGCCTCGGTTTCCTCATCTGCGGGATGGGAGCATTTCCACCGGGGGCTGTTGTTCGTAGAGAGCTAAAACCGGTGGATTCTATTTTCTAAATGAGAGCACGCTCCCGTGCAGGGCGTGTCCGCTCCCGGCAAGCGGGGTTGGCTGGAGAAACCTCCGCAGTGCCCCCCCCCCATGGCCACAGCGGGTGGTTCCGGACCCCCTCGGACCCCCTCGGAGATGGACTAATCCCGAGCACATATCTGGGGCCAAATGCTCCACGTGTTGGACTTGGCCATCCTCTCTCCCGTCCACTCGCCCAGCAACAGCTGTCAGGCACACACCGTGGGGGGACGTTCCAGGGCTGGGGATACCGCAGTGAACAAGCCAGATCCAATGCTGGATCCCAGGAAGACAGACGGGAGGTGAACAGGCAAACACAGGCTGTGCTAAGACTCAGACCATAACACCTTCAACCGCAGCCGTGTAAAGTGGCCCCTCTAAGGAGGTGACATTTGAGCCACGCCAAATATTCAAGCAGCAGCCCACCGTGGGAGTAGGTGGGGGGGGAAAGCCAGAGGAAGAGCATTCCAGGAAGAGGGAATGGCCAGTGCAAAGGCCCTGAGGCTGAAGCAGGCCTGGTGAGTTGGAGGGACAGCTGCCAGGTCCACGTGGCTAGATTAGCACAGTTACTGTTCCCCGTAGATTTATGACAACATTGAGAAATACAGATAGCGAAATTGTAGACACTCTAAAACTTTACTTGAAGGTATGCCCTGGAAATGGGAAAGCACCAGTCCGCTCACTGTTGGCGTATTTGTGTGATGGGATCGTGGGTAGCCTGTTTGGTTCTATTGTTTTATAATAAGCATGAGATTCAAGGACCTCGGCATTAGACCAGAGACCCTGTGCCTACTAGAAGAAAAAGTAGGACCAAATCTCCATCTTGTCGGCTTAGGAACCAAATTCCCCAACAAGACTACTAAAGCACAAGAAAGAACCAAGAATCAGTAAATGGAATTGTATCAAGCTAAAAAGCTTCTTCACAGCAAAGGAAATAGTCAAAAACATGGAAAGCCTACAGAATGGGAAAAAAACATCTTAGCCACTTGCACCTCAGAGCGTTAATCTCCAGGATACACAAAAAACTAAAAAAAAAAAAAATAATAATAATTACACACACAAATAAATAACCCAATTAATAGATGGGCAAAAGAACTGAATAAACACTTCACAGAAGAACAAATACAAATGGTCAACAAATGTATAAAAAAAAGTTCAACATCTCTAGCAATTAGAGAAATGCAAATTAAAACTACACTGAGACTCCAGGTCATCCCAGCCAGAATGGCAATCATCAAGAGTAGAAGTAACAACATATGTTGGTGAGGTCGTAGGGAGAAAGGCACACTCACACATTGCTAGTGGCACTGCCCTGTGCTGCTGCTCCCCATCTGTGAGACGGGCTGGGGAACAGGGAGCCACGGACCCCAGGTGTTGGGAGCAGGGCTGAGGGGCAGCTTGGAGCTGCAGAGCAGGGCTTTGTGAGCACAGCAGGCCCTCGGGGAGGTGAGGCCCTGGGTAGGTGAGGCCTGGGGAGGTGAGGGCCTGTGGGCGTCTCTTGTGTTCTAGATCACGTGGATGGCTGGAGCAGTGGTGAGGGACCTGGAGCTGACGGCAACCCCCGAGCATCAGGAGGTGGTGGTCAGCTACCTGCCCCTCAGCCATATTGCGGCGCAGATGATGGACATGTGGGTACCCACAAAGATCGGCGCTGTCATTTACTTTGCTGAATCAGACGCGCTCAAGGTAAGGCTGGGTGAGGACCTGGGCCCCACGGCATCCTCCGGGCGGCCCCAGGGGTGGAGGGCTGTCCCTCCAGGGAACAGGTGTCCTGCTAAGCTCTAGGTCTATGAGGCTTTTTCCTTAGTCCTTGTCTTCTGCTCCAAGATTCCTTGAATATGTGATACCATCTTTTCTTGATTTATTGAATTTTAAATATCATCAATTACCTTTCCACTGTGGTAAGTAAAAATTTACTTCCTTTTCTCCCCCGTTTCCACACATCTCCCTTCCCATCCTCTCAGGGTCAATCATTCTTAAGCACTTCACTATATGGTTATGTTTCCCGGTCGGGTACAACTTTTTGGTTTTTCTAGAGTTAATACTTGCTTTTCTTTTCCAATTTGGTGACATTTTTGCACACCAGTCCAGTCGCTCCATTTGATCCAGCCCGTGTTCATTGGCATTTTTCAAATGGTCAAATATCCGTTGCCTTTCTTCCCTTCAATTCTTAGCTCTAATCTGGACGGCTGTTGTCCTAGGTTGGACCACATAGAAGCAAAATCTGAGATGGGTATTTTTGTGATTTATTGAGAGGAAGCTCTCAAGTGAGAGGAGAGGAGCAGAGAAGGTCAGGGGGAGAAGCCAAGAAAGGATGTCGGTTTGGCTGGACTAAAACCTCCTTCAATCCACGGGAAGCCCTAAGACATGAATGCACCACAGAGTTGCTCCACTTGGGCCAGGAAGACTGGTGTCTATGTCTCAGATAGTCACTGGTTGTAGGCTCACGCACCACAGGGGAGCACAACTTGCCAGGCCTTTCTGAGTAAGGGCTCCTCTCCAGAAAAGAAGACACCGTGCACTGTGGGGACCAGGCTAGAACACCCACGCACCTTCTACAAGCCGCCATGCAGGGCTATCCCTTCCCCCACACTGTGGTCTGTTTTCCAGGGTCACTGTGTCGTGTTTTTGGATATTCCTTCATGTGGCTGGAGATCGCCCATGGTAGCTTTTTCAGAGTAATTCTGTGAGAGGAATTTTGATTTCTTTTATGTCTGGACTTCGCAAACATAACAAAGCCAGAAGAGAACTCTGGAGTTCCACCGTCCCCTGCTGCCCCGTGAGCTCCCTGGTACGGCCACATCGATGACCGCACAGTTAGTGGCTTAGCAAGGCACACTTTTATGATGTCATAGCTCTGGAGGTCGGACGTCCAAAATGCTTCTCTCTCGGTGTCCTCGGGGCTGGTTCTGTCTGGGAGGTCTTGGGAGCATCCATTTCCTTCCTTCCTCTCCCAGCTTCTAGGGGCCTCCCGCAGTCCTCAGTGTGGCCTCTCCCTCCACCTGCTGAGCCAGCAGTGCAGTGCCTTCCACTCTCAACCCTCCTCCACAGTTTGCTTCCATCATCAGATGTCCCTGACTCTGGCCTCCTGATTGCCCCTTGCAAGGACCTTGGATGACATTGGGCTGCCTGGATGATTCAGGAAATGTCCCCATCTCAAGATTCTCAACTTTGATGGGCTTGGTGGCCCATACCTGTAATCCTAGGAACTTGGGAGGCTGAGACACAAGGATCTCAAGTTCAAGGGTAGCCTCAGAAACTGAGCAAGACCCTGACTCAATTAAAAAAAAAAAAGACTAGAGATCTGGAGGTGTAACTCAGTGATGAGGGAGCTTGGGTTCAACCCCTCAACTCAACAACCCTTCAACTCAACCACATCTGCAAAGACCCTTCTGTCCCCAAAGACATGGTCATCACCAGTTCTGGGAGTTAGGGTGAGGAGGACATATTTGGGGGGAGGGCATTATTCTCCCCCACACTCTCAATCAAGCAGCTAAATCCTGGGCCTTTGTTCTGCCTTCTGGAAGGGCCTTCTCCTGTTCTGTGAGTGGCTGACTCTCCCTGCCACTTAATTCTTTGCTTGACTGTTTCCTCGGTCTCTCAGTCACTATCCTGTCCCCTCTGTTCGGTGCTTAAGCCACTGCAGTTACTCAATAAGGCATGCTTTTTTATTTTTTTAACTGAATGCATAAAGTATACACAGTCACCTACTGGATCCAAGAAGTTCCATCTTCCCACATCCTTATCAATCCCTAATAGTGTCAGAATTTTTAATTGTCAATCAGAGTTGTGCTGAGGGGTCTTGAGGTTTAAGAATCTGCCTTGTGTTTCACAGTAGCTGCAGCACTTCACATCCCCGGGGGTGTATGAAGGTTCTGGTTTCTCCATGGGTGCCCAGAGCACGTATCCACTTAAAATTACTTTATGGCCATTCTAATGGGTACAACGTGGTGCCTTATTACTTTAATTTGCACTTCCCTAATGGCCAGTGATGGTAAGATCTTTCCCTGTGTTTATTGGCTATTTGTATATCTTCTTTGGAGAAATGTCTGTTTGAATCTTTTGCATTTTAAATTTTGGTTGGATATTTAACCTTAGTGTTGATTTTAAGAGTTCTTTACATATTCTGGTTATGATTTTTAAAAATTTTCGTTGTAATTACACAATACCTTTATTTTATTTACTTTTATGCAGTGATGAGGATCAAACCCAGAGCCTCAGCGCTCTACCACTGAGCACTCCCCCCCCATGAATTCTTTATCAAATAGAAGACTCACAGGTGCTCTCCTGGTCCTGTGGTGTGTATCTCTGTTTTCGTCATAGTCTTTTGAAGAGTGTCAAGTGTTTAACTTGAATGAGACCCACTTATGGGTTCCCCCTTTCATGCTTTTGTTCTCGTATCTAGGAAATCTTGGCCCACGCTAACATCACAGAGATTTTCTTCTCTTTTCCTCTAGAAGGATTTTGTTTTATCACTTCCACTTTAGGGCGATGCCCATTTCAGTTTTAGTGTTGCCAAGCGGAGCCCCTTGCTCACTGTGTGGAGTCCCTCTCTCTGCCCTGCAGTCCTCGGCACGTTATTGAAAATCGGTTGTTTACAAATGGAAGGTTTCTTGCGGGACTTCTGCTCTGTTCCCTTGAGCAGCACGGCCATCCTTAGGCCAAAACCACACTGCCTTGGTCATGGCACTTTGTATCAGGGTGATCGACCTGTCCCAGTGTGCCTGGGGATTCCCCACTTTTTAAACTGAAAGTCTTGCATTTCTGGAACCCCCTCAGTTCTGGGTAAGCCTGCACAGTGGATTAGCCTATTTTATAGTAAGTTTTAAAACTAGGTAGGAGCCTCTGATTTTGTTCTTCTCCCAAATTGCTTTGCCTGTTGGAAGCCTTGGCATTTCTATGTGAAACGTAAGATTGGCCTGTGGATTTGTACATGACCTCCTGCATGGATTTGGACAGGGATTGCGGGGATCAAAAGATCAGTTGGGAGGTGAATCTTGCTTCTTTTTATTATTTTTTTTTTCACAGTTGCATACTATCCCATTACAAGCTTGGGCAATTTCTTTAGCTGATCTCACTTGCTTAACATGCAAATTGTTTCCATTATGCCACAAATCACATCTTGTTTGCCTTTCTCTGTGTATCCAAGTCTTTCATTCAGCTAAATCCCTCGGCTCACTTCCAAGCATCTTCCCGGGGTGGGTGCCATATCCAAGCCCTGGAGAGCATGAGCTCCCGTGGGACTCGGCTGTCCAATCCGCGAGGGGAACGTCCTCGGGCTGTGCCACACCCCGGCTCAGGTCCCCCAAGGCACTGCGGACGTGCCCCGACCGGACCTGCCCGTCCGTCCTGCGTAGGGCACACTGGTGCACATCCTGAAGGAGATAAAGCCCACCATCTTCCTGGGGGTGCCCCGCATCTGGGAGAAGATGCATGACACCATCAAGGAAAACCTGGCCAAGGCCTCGAGCTTGAGGAAGAAGGCGTTTACGTGGGCAAAAGACACGGGCCTGAAGGTCAACACCAAACGGATGCTGGGGTAGGTGGCGGCCGGCCCGGGCGGGGCAGCCCAGCCATCCCGCCCGCCCGGCTCCAGGACGTCCTTGGCCCCCAGGAAACGCGACCTCCCGCTGGGCTACCACGTGGCCGAGGCGCTGGTGTACAGCAGGGTCCGCCGCTCCCTGGGCCTCGAGCACTGCCACGCCGCTCACCGAGAGCACCTCCGAGTTCTTCCTGAGCCTGGACATCCCCATAGGCGAGATCTACGGCCTGAGCGAGAGCTCGGGGCCCCACTCCATCTCCACCCACAGCGACTACCGGATCCTGAGGTGGGCAGGCCCGGGCAGGGGCGGGGGCGGGGGCAGGGGGCAGGGGGCAGGGGGCGGGGGCAGGGACGGGGGCGGGGGCAGGGGGCAGGCCCGGGCAGAGGCAGGGGCAGGGGGCAGGGGGCAGGGGACGGGGGCAGGGGGCAGGGGACGGGGGCGGGGGGGGAGCAGGGGCAGTGGCCGGGCGGCCTCCGGGCCTCTCCAGGAAGGCCCCAGTCTCGGGCCTCCAGCGCCCCAGCTTCCTGAGGCGCGGACCCCTGCTTGGTCAGGTAAAGCAAGGGCCGCCCCCATGTCGCTGGCGAGTTCTGCCTCCAAGTTCACGTCCTGTGACCTTGAAGCCCCTCCACTTGGCCATCTTCCATCTCTAACACTTCCCCGGCCCCTTTCTGGGTTTTCCCAAGTTGGACTCACCCCAGGCCCAGAGGTTGACCCAGATGATACCAAAACCAGGAGATCACCAAGGGCAAGCTCAGCGCTGGGGCAGGGTGAGCCCTAATCCAGAGTCCCTGCCACCATGGCGCCATTCTCACCTCCCTGTCCTGCTTGGGGCTCTCCCTTGTCAGGTGCCAACTGAGGTAGCAAAACAGGCTGGGGCTGGGGCTCAGGGGCAGAGCGCTTGCCTGGCTGTGGGAGGCACTGGGTTCGAATCTCAGCACCACATATAAATAAATAAATAAATAAATAAAATAAAGATCCATCAACAACTAATAAAAATATTTCAAAAACAAAACATAAGTTAAATCCTTCTAACCTGACGAATCCTTCTCCTGCCTGTGACTTGCGGGCACCTTAATGTCTCCGCCTCCCCCCTCCCCCCTCATGCCTCTAAACTCCCATCAAAATCTGTCTTCTGCAGAACCCCAAGGCCCACTAGTGTTTTTCAGAACCAAAAAGCAGTGCTTCCCACCCACCCCTGGAAGGAAGGTGCCAGTGCCAGTCTCTGTCTTCAAATGATCCTTTTCAGTGAGTGATATGTGTAAGTCAGCAGGCTTAAAGATGGCACCATGAAAGTCCCCACCCAAGCCTTCTCCTGAGTCCCCTAGGGCAGCCATAACAAAGCACCCACATTAAACAGCAGAAGTGTGTGGGCTGCCAGTTCTGGAGGCTGGAAGTCAGATCAGGACGTGGACAGGGCCGGCTACTTCAGAAGCTGTGATGGGGAATCTGCCCCAGGCCCCTCCCCAACTTCTGGTGATTTTTTGGTGTTCTTTGACTTATGGAGTGTCACCCTCTCACCTCCATCTTCATGTGGTACTGTGTGTGTGCGTGCGCGCGCGTGCGTGTGTGTGTGTGTGTCCCCATTTCCCCATTCTGTAAGGACACCAGTCACTCTGGATTAGGGCTCACCCTGCCCCAGTGTGACCTCCTTTTAAATAATTACATTGCAGTACCTTGTTTCCAGGTAAGGTCACATGCCATGCTACTTGGGTTTAGGACTTATACATATGAACTGGGGAGCAGGGGTGGGGGGCACAACAAAATTCAACCTGTAACCACCTCCCAGAGGCAAAACAACCACAGTGTTCTTTCTAGTCAAGCTGGCACACGTCAGGCATTGACATATGCTGTGTGCATTTATCCCCAACAGAAGCATTTTCCATGTCAAAACAGACACAGAACCCTCCTCCTCTGAACTCTGGTTCTCTCTGCAACCCAGGAACCAGATCAGCTCAGGCAACAGGGTTCCCTCTCAAGGTGGACTCAGGGCAAACTTTCCCTCATCCTGGACTGGCACCATCTATGCTCGGAGTCAGATGGATTTTGTTAGTAAGGGGTTCTTATCACGTGGAGAATGTTCCCTGTCAGTAGAACAGCTGCTCTGTGTATGTGTGCGCCTGCTCGTGGTGTGTGTGACGGGTGGAACCCAGGGCCGAGTGCATGCTAGGCACGCACTTTATTACTGAGCCCCTGCCCCGGCTGCCTTATTCTTTTTTAAAATTTTTTTTTTAATTGTACTTAGACCCAACACCTTTACTTTATTTATTTTTATGCGGTGCTGAGGATCAAACCCAGGGCCTTGCACTTGCTAGGTGAGTGCTCTCCCTCTGAGCCACAACCCCAGCCCCAGCTGCCTTATTCTTAACAGTTTTGTGGTATTCCAGAGGACACAAATGGTCGTACCATAAATTATTAAGTGGTTCCCTTACTGGTGAGTATTTAGGGCTTAATTTCTCCCATCAGGTGTTCCCATAAATAATGATAAAATGAATGTTTGACATAGACATTTTGTACTGTGATGCAAAATGATATCTCCATTTTTCTCTTCCTTTTATTATAAGTGGAGTTAGAAATAATCTTTTCACACATATAAACCCCACTTGCAACTTCCTTTTCTCTGAACTTTCTGTCTACATTATCTTCCCATTAAAAATTGAATCATTTGTTAGCATTTACATATTAGGAAAATCAACCCTTTGTCTTTCATTTTTTCATTAGGGTTTTTATTTTAGTTAATTTTTTTACAATACCTTTATTTTATTTATTTTTATGTGGTACTGAGGATCAGACCCTGGGTCTTGGATGTGCTAGGCGAGCGCTCTACTCCTGAGCCTACAACCCCAGCCCCAGTTAATCTGGTTTTTTAAAAATATTTTTTAGTCATCAATGGACCTTTATTTTATTTAAATGTGGTGCTGAGAATCTAACCCAGTGCCTCACACATGCTAGGCAAGTGCTCTACCACTGAGCTACAACCCCAGCCATAATCTGTTTTTTGATGTACAGAAACTTATGATTTTTATCTGGTTGAAGTTATCAATCTTTTTTATGGCTTCTAGATTTTTCTACATATCTAGAAAGGCTTCAGTGGAGAAGCTATAAGTCTTTTTTAAGTTCTGAATGTCTCAGCCCTGCCTTTTTTCTCTTGCTGAGATGATTCCTAGGCTTAACCCTTATCCTTCTAGTTTCCAGGGAAGGAGATCTCAGTGATGCAAGAGCGTGTTTATCTCTGCATCCTAAAACTGCCCTTGCAAATGTATTTCTGGAGAAATGAGTCTTATAAGAATTCAGATTTCAGATGATGCTCTGCTATCTTATGGAAGTAACTTTTCACCTCTAGGGAGATTCTAGTTGGTTGGTTTGCTGATAGTCAGCTGTCCTGGTCAGGGTGACCTGCAGTATAGATGTATAGGTCTACACGGCTGTTTTCTCAAGGGTGGGGGGATTTTTTTCCTATCCTTAAGCACTTTTTCCTTCTCCTATGTACATGGGTATAAATACAGTCCACAGAGGCTGGGGTAGGGGTTCAGTGACAAAGAGCTTACCTGGAACAGGTGAGGCCCTAGGTTTGATGCCCAGCACTTCAAATAAATAAATAAAAACAATCCACAGCCAACCATGGTTGTGCCCGCCTATAATCCCAGTGGCTCGGGAGGCTGAGGTAAGAGGATTGCTTTAAAGCCAGCCTCAATAAAAAGCAAGGCACTAAGCAACGCAGTGAGATCCTGTCTCTAAATAAAATACAACACAGGGCTGGAGATGTGGCTCAGTGGTTGAGTGCCCCTGAGTTTAATCCCCAGTACCTTCCCCTGCCCCTCCAAAACAACAACAAAACAAAAAATGGTCGACATCACTGCTAGGGTTTCCAGTTCACAAAGTGTTGGGAATTTAACAGATGAAACACTTTGGCAGGCCCCTCCTCACATCTGCTGGGTCCTAGAGAGGGTGCAGGTCCAGCCTGGGCCCTCTGAGCACACTGTGGGTGACTTTGTCTCTGAGCCTCGGTTTCCCCACTCCTGTCCCCCTGGCAGCTGTGGCAAGATCGTGAGTGGGTGTGAGAACACGCTGGTCCAGCAGAACAAGGACGGCACTGGGGAGGTCTGCATGTGGGGCAGGCACATCTTCATGGGCTACCTGGACAGGGAGGACACGACTCTAGAGACCATTGACGAGGACGGCTGGCTGCACTCCGGGGATCTGGGCCGTATGGACAACCAGGGGTTCCTGTTTATCACCGGCCGCATTAAAGGTAGCACTGGTGCCGGGGTCTGGGCTCTGAGGGCCTCTTGCACGTGCTGGTGCAAAGGCTTTCTGGCTTTCCCACCTCCCATGAAGGGCTGTGCAGGACACCCTGGTGGGCACGACCCAGCCTCCTCCTCATGCCCAGGAAAGTCACCCCTCCATCATTTGGCACTCCATCGTCTTCCTTTGGGAGGATGGACCTGGGAGAGACAGGCCCTGAAACACCCATTCCCTCCTCTGTAGCTTGAGGATGTGAGGATGCTGATCTACAGAGCCTGAGGGTTAATTGCAATGACATGGACAGGATCTCCCAGGGTTTCCTGGAGAAGGCCCTATGGAAAGTGCTTCTGGGTTTCCAGGACTCACAGTCTCCACTGCCACTAATCAGTCATGCCACCTTGGCACAGCCACAGACGATGCATGAAGGAATGGGTGTGGAATTCCACGTGATTTTATGTGTCACAAATAATCCTCCTTTCACTTCCTTTTGTCCACTTGGAAAATACATATTTTAAAAAATAAACATTTTTGGCTTATAGCCACACAAAATTGAGCAATGGGCCAGATTTGGTGCACAGAACTATGTAGTTGGCCAACTCATATAGAAAGCATTTGGTATCAAATCTGACATAGGCAGTAACTATTCAATAAATGGGCTATGTTAACATTATTTCTTGTGATGAGTGACAGAAAACTCATTTCAAATTGAGTGGCAAAGCAAAACTGTTGGCTAAATACAATTGAAAAATCCAGAAGTTCTAGCTTCAGGCATAGCTGGATCCAGGTACCAAAATGACTTCACAATGAATCTTTTTCCTTCTCTGTGCTAATGCCATTGCTAATAAAGTGGTTCCTGTTTTGTGGCAAGAAGGCTACCAACAGTCTAGGTTCATTTCTAACTCCAAAGGAAAGAGAGTAGTATTTCCAGTAGTTCCAGTGCAAACACTGTATGTCTGGCTTTCATTGGACTAATGGAGAAAAGATTATCAAGAGGAGTGCATGTGTCTCAGAATGAGTCTCACTGTAGGGGGTGGAATATGCCAACTTGTTAGACCTGGTCATCCCTGTGGTCCACCCCACCCAGGCCAACTGCATGAAAGAGCAGATTGCTAGTGAAACAGCCAGTGCCGTCCCCAGGGAGGGGTCCCTGAGCAGGCCATGCCACAGAGGTGTTCTGCACCATCACAGTGAAGATGCTGTTGGGACAAATGGCCATTGTAAGGGCAGCTTTGCCAGGTCCTGGGACAGGAGGAGACAGGATCACAGAACGAAAGAGTAAATTTTTCTGGGTCTAGGGTAGGAGGAGATGTGAATTCTGGAGGTGAAGATTTCTGGAGACTGGGCAGAGGGGGAAGGATTCTTAGAGAACTAGGGATGCCACACAGGCCCCCAGGGTAAGTCTGGAACTAGACTCCTAGGTGGCCAGGCAATGGAAGCAGCAGCAAGAGACAGACAGAGCCTGGCCCCAGGGGCTTCACTAGCCTGTAAGCAAGACGTGAGAAAGGCCAGGACAGGCCCTGGGGGCCAGGCAGGAACTCGGACTGGGATTCTTGATGGGAAAGCAAGTGACTAGGGAGGTGGGGCCAGGGCCTGCATGCTCCTGAGATTTTGGCGGTGAGTGTCATCTGCCATTCTGTCCCCATACCAGTGGGGGTTTCCTGTTGTCATGGGTGGACCTGGTTGAGCCAAGCCTTGTTGCAGAAATCCTCATCACTGCTGGTGGTGAAAACGTGGCCCCCGTTCACATCAAGAACCTGGTGAGGGAGAAGATCCCCATCATCAGTAATGCCATGCTGGTGGGCGACAGAGCCAAGTTTCTGAGCATACTGCTGACGCTGAAGGTGAGGTGGGCCCCTGCTGGCCCCTGGGGCCTCCACAGCCAGCCTGGCCCGGCCCCAGGGCCGGGAGCTGGCCTGCAGGTTCAAGATCACTTCTTGGTCTTCAGTGTCTGGGTTGGATTGGGCTGGCCAAGGAACATGTGTGGTGACAGGGCTGTCCTGGGGTAGTGTGAGACGGATCAGGTGAGCGGAGCACCCCTGAACAAGCTGAGCTTGGAGGCCATCAACTTCTGCCGGAGCCTGGGCAGCCAGGCAGACACTGTGACCGAGATCGTGAGGCAGCAAGACCCACTCATCTACGAGGCCATCCAGCAAGGCATAGACGCTGTGAACCTGGAAGCCACCAGCGAGGCACAGCGGATCCACAAGTGGGTCATCTTGGAGAAGGACTTCTCCATCCAAGGCGGAGAGCTTGGTGAGTGGGCTGGACAGCTGACGATGCCGACCTCAGAGGCTGGTCCCTTGCCGGCATCTGGGCCATGTGGCTTCTTGGGGGTCAGAGGGCTTGTGGGTCTTGGCCATGGGATTCTGTCTCCTGGTCAATGCTGCAAGTATGGAATTTCCTTTCCTCCATGACTCAATCGATTTCTCCATTCTCAACAGGTCCAACAACAAAAATGAAGAGGCCATTCATAGCCCAGAAATACAAAACACAAATCGAGAACTTCTACCAGTGACTGCCCAGGCAGAGCCTTGCTGCCCCAGTGGTGAGGTCCAGTTGCTTGGCTTTGCTGGGTTCTGCACTGACTGTCCTGGGGGCTCTGCTGACTGGCAAGAGTGGGTAGAATCTCTACCTGGGGCGAATCACAGTGGGTTCTGGGTAGCGTCTGGCCTCACTCGTGCTCCCCTCCCCGGGGTGTGGAGCCTCCTTCACAGCTGGTCTGTGAGTGGACAGCCGCACTCTGCCTCTTCTGCTTCCTGCAAGGAGGAAGTGTGTGACCCTCGTGCTCAGGATGGCATCTTCCTGAAGCCTCCACGTTCACTGGCTTGTTTGGAGAGGGCCTCTGGTCAGAAACCTTGGTGGAAGTTTCACCTGCCAGGAACCCAAAGAACGAGCAGTGCCTCCCTTCTCCCCTCTGCCCCAGGTCATGTCCCGGGGCCTCCACTCCACCACGTGTCTCCAATGGGGATTCTGGGCAGTGCCAGCAGAGAACATGCCTTCAGCTGTCCCCAGGCCACGTGACCCTTGTGTGGGCAGACCTGTTCTCTGCTGATGCCCCACACAGCCCACTGGTAGGAGTCTGTTGGGGCTGCCATAATAAAAGAGCACAGGCCTGGGCCTCAGAGAGCAGGGACTTATTGTCTCAGAGTTCTGGAGGCTAAAAGAGATCAAAGCACCAGCGGGGTTGGTCCCGTCAGGGGACACACGGGACCTGTCCAGCCTTGCTCCCTAGCATGCAGATGGCCGCCTTCTCCCCCACCTCGTGTCTTCCCTCCATGCATCTGTGTCTGAATCTCTTCTTAAGGACAGCAGTCATGACTGGACACAGTTATGCTGGGCTGGGGCCCACCCCAGGACCCTTCTTATCTTCTCTACCTCGCATCTCTGAACGAGGGAGTGTCTGAGGTGCTGGGGGGTGGGAACTTCAACAGGTGAGCCTGGGTGTGCACCTGTCTCAGCACCCCCCATGTTGGTGTGTCCCTCTGACCCCCGGGGTCCTGTGGGGGCTGGTTGCCCACACCTCCGTATCCCCAGCCTTCATGAGACTTCCAGTTGGACTCTGCAGGTGAGAAGCTATTGGAGACGGGGTGGGGTGGGGGGTGGACCCACTCCCCACACCAGTGCTGCCCAGAATGGCAGCCCCTGGCCCCAGGGTGGCCACCTGCATTGGGATGTGCAAGACACATGACTTTGAGGCTTGGAAGGGAGAAATATAAATACCTCATTAATATTTTAAGATCTTGATTACATGCTGTGATACTTGGAGCATAGCGGGTACATAAAACATATCATTACATTAATTTTAATAGTCCTTTCCGAAGTGGCTACTGGAAAATTCTAAATTGCACAGGTGGGTTTCTCTGGGACAGGCCCACTCAGGGTAAGAGCCAGTTGCCAAGAGACCCATCATTGAGGAGTGTTCTTCGTTTGGTAGCTTGGGGTCTGGAGGATGACTGCCCATCACCAGGACCCTGTGTAATGACTCGTGTCCCCCAACATTAAGACTCGCAGCTACGGCCTCCTGCTCTAGGCAGGGGCTCTCCCTCCTGTTCTAAGCCACTTTCCTGCTGGTCAGTGTCTTGACTGCTCACCTGTTCAGAGGCTGGACCCTCCACACCTTTCCAAGCCCTGAGATCGCTGTAGGTCAGTGAGCGTTTCAAGTACCATCCTGGGAAGCTTCCTGGGAGCTCTACAAGAACTGCCTGTGAAGGAAGCTCTGCCCTTGGGGGTTCCACTTGGAGTTTTCTTCTCCCCAGAGGACTTAATGAAACATTAGAAAGAAAGAAACCTTCACAAGTTTGAAGAACTGGACCTCCAAACCACCCACTTGCGCAGAAGCAGCTTGGAGCCTTCCAGTAAGTCCTGATTTCCAGGTGCTCTGTGTCTCCTCCTGATGTGGGGCCGTGGGACTCCAGAGGCAGTGGGCCAGCCGCATGAAGTTCAAACTTCTGAGGTTCTCTAATCTGAACAGAGAGACCCCCATCTCACAGGCCGGCTGTGAAAGTTCATTGGGATCATGTACAGGGATCACACGACTGGCTAAAGCCCCTTCAAGTCAGGGGCGGGTCACTGCCATCAGTTGTTAGGGAAGAGGAATGACTCTCAACTGATCCATCCTTAGGAGTGAGTTTTGCTGTTGTAATAAAGTACAAAATAACCATCACTTGGATGTTTGCTCCTGTCTCATCCAAGAGTCCACCGTAAGCAGACCACGGTGCTGATCAGTTTCCCTCACTGTTACAAGTAGCCTCAGTTAAACTCATTATAGAGAGGAAAGGCTAGGAGTCTGCAGTCCATGATGGCCTGGCCCTGACTGTGTGAGGCAGCACATCATGGCAGGGGCGCACCACACAGCAGAGCCACTCCCCTCAGGGCAGCCAGGAATCAGAGGCAGGAAGAGGGGGACAGCAGGTCCCAGTGAGCTGACTTCTCCCACCCAGCCACGCCTCTCCAGTGGCACCACCCTGGGGACCGACTCTTTTAACACATGGGCCTCTGGGCACATTTAAGACCTAAACTCTTTCAAAAGCCAATGAGAAAGTAGAAGGAATGTTAAAGTCAGGACAGAGTGGCTGCCAATCGTCAGGGGTATGAAGGCCAGTGGTGGGGGGCGGGGGCCATGAGAAAGGCTGTTGGTGTGGAAGGTGGAGGTGACCATTCCATCACCAGGGAGGGGCAGGTCACTACCCTGTGCCTCAGTCATTTCTTTTCCTGCAGAAGGCGGGCGGGGGGGGGGGGGGGGGATTTGAGAGAAAAGATGTAGCCATGAGGTGGTACCCGCACACAGAGTGGTGCTGGGAGGGACTTCCAGCTGCTGCCACTCAGAGGGAAAGTGGGCTAGGGTCCCAGGGCAGGAGGGAATAGAGAGGGGCAGGGATGTCAGGGTGGGGTCTTCCTCCAGGGGAGCAGGTGTTGGGTGCAGTTCCATCTGGCTGCACAGTAGGCGGGATCCAGATGGCCCGGATCTCATCAGGCTGATCTCCGTAACACGATCCAGGGACGGGAGACTGGGGAAAGGAGAGGAACTGACACCTGCCCCAAGTGCAGGAGGCGGACATGCTGGACCTCGGGCAGAGGGAGAGGCAAACGGGGGCATGCTCTGAACCAGGGCTGGCTCCCTGGTTTGGGCGGCTACATGCTGTAAGGAAGAAAGTGTCCCTGTTTGGGGAAACTCATGCTGCAATGCACAGGGAAGATGGGTGCGGTGGAGGGAAAGGGAGAGAGTGAAGGGAGGGGGGAGAAGTAGAGATACCAGCTTTCCATTACTGTAAAAACAAAAACAAACAAAAACACCTGAAGAATCAGCTTATAAAGAGGGAAGGTTGCTTTGGGCTCCCAGTCTTGGAGGTTTCAGTCCTGACTGTCCTGCTGCTCTGGACCATGGCGGAGCCCGTGGTGGAGCATGGCTGCTCACCTCATGGCCAGGAGCAGAAGGGCAGGGAAGAGACGAGGGTCCTGCTCTTTCCGTGGAGGACAGGAAGTCCTCCCACCTGGCCTCACATCTTAAAGGCTCCAGCCTCCCCCCAAGTGCAGTCCAGGACTAAACCTTTAGCACATGGGCCTTTGGGGAAAATTCTGCTAACCCTAAGCAGCACGAGAGGCAGGAAATGGCGTCACATGTTAACAAGTGGTGAATCTTGGCAAAGATTCTTTGCATTGCTTTGGCAAGTTTTCTGTAACTTTGAAAATACTTCAATACATGACTTGGAGATAATATTTTAAAAACCTCTGGCTGATTTCTAGCCCCCTTACTTCTGTGAGCAGGCATGCCACGGACATCTTTCTCTGAGGACAACTGCCCCATTCTTTCCGGCCCCTGCATGTCTTCCTGTCTGTCCCCTATCGCTGGACACTGGGTTGCTGTCACTCCCCCACACTGCAGTGAGCAGCCGTGCATGTCTCCCCGTGCACAGAGCACACCTATCCCTTCAGAGTGCTCCTCTACTGCAGCAAATACCCTCCTGGCGTCTCGCGCAGTGGCATTCACGAAGGCCAGGGTGGGCCAGTCTGTAGACCAAGTGCCCAAGCAGGACACCCCCCACTGCTCAAGCAATCTCAGGAGCCTCATCTCTAAGCATCAACAGTATCATCCTTGGAAAAAAGGAGGACAGTAAAACACGATATTCCTGAAACGCCCCTCTCCATTCCCAAGAAACCTGGCCAAGTGAGGAAAAACAAGAGCAAGCCTGCGCTGGAGTGTCCAGACACGGTCCCCTCCCAGGAATTAGGTGAACCAGGGCTGCCTGTAGAAAGCGGCTCTCTTGCCACAGTCCTTGGAGTGCTGGTCCTACAGGGGCAAACCAAGCTAGGCTGGGGTGTCACTGCTTCTGTAGCCTGACTCATAAACCCCTCTCCCTGGGGCAGCTAGGCAGGATACAATGCTGTGGACAGGGCATGCCCATCCAGCTGGCCCCAGACAGCCACGTGGGATGGCAAAGCAAGCACCAGAGGCACCGTGGGAAACAGGAGCGCCTGTCCAGCCATCGCCACTGGACTTTCTGGCAAAGCACCTGTCCAGCCCGTCACCATCAGATCTTCCCCAGAAGCATTTCTCCATAAACCTTACATCTCACAACCCATCTCCAGGTGACATTTTTGCTCTCACAGCAACTACCCTACAGATGTGGGCGGTACCACACGCCCATCTTCACACATTGGCCTGATTTAACCTTGCCTCTCCCTCCCTGGCGTGGCACCTTCAGAATTCAACCCCACATGTGTCCCCACACAGGCCAGCCACACCCTGTTGGCCATTCGCCAGTCTTCACCAAGTTTTGACTGTGTGATCAGCCTCAGGGACATCCTGAGGTCTGACTCCACTGACATGAGCAGGCCATGAGACGGTGAGGGGTCAGGGCAGGGAGACTGGCAAATGCTGCCAACGTAAGGGCCCCTGGGGGCATCACAGGTATTTCAGCAAAGTGAGGCTGGCCTTTTGCTAGCACGGGCAGCTGGTGGGATCCGGGAGCCCAGGACACAGTCATCAGAATCCTCCCAAATCACACTGTTCCAGTTCTTAGGGTACCATGTTTTCTCAAATAATGCCCCCCACATGAAAAGCTTGCAAGGCTGTGAATCTACTCCATGTTACACTTCAGAATCTGCAGCTGTGAGGGGTGCTCAAGGCACCCATAGGAAGACCCTCTGAGCAAGCCTAGAGGTGAGACCTGAACCCAGAGCTGTGACTGCTAAGGTCAACCTGTGTGGTCATAAACAGTACCCACAACTGCTGGTGGCCAGCTATTCCTGTCCCTCAGCCCAGATCTTTGCCTTGGATAGAGGAGCAAGGGTGGCACAAAATTCAACACCCACTATGAAGTGTAGACATGTAGACCAATAAAACCAGAGTTCAGAAATGAAACACCACTTTTATGACCAACTGATTTTTTTAATATTTATTTTTTAGTTTTCGGTGGACACAACATCTTTCATTTTTATTTTTATGTGGTGCTGAGGATGGAACCCAGCGCCCCGCACATGCCAGGCAAGCGCGCTACTGCTTGAGCCACATCCCCAGCCCCTGACCAACTGATTTTTGATAAAGGTGCCAAGGCAGTTCAACAGTTCAATGGGGAAAGGATGGACCCTTCAACTAATGGTGCTGGAATACTATGTCCATAAGGGGGAGAAAAAAGAATTTAGGCCTTTACCCCACACCATACACAACTTGAGATACATCATAAACCTCAATGCAGAAGCTGAAATTATAAAACTTCCAGGAAAAAGTTATAGAAAATCTTGATGCCCTTGGATCAAGTGGAGATTTCTTAGACATGATGCCGACACACAAATTATGAGTTAAAAGAACTGACAGAATCAGGCTGTACCGACATCAAAGTCTCTTGCCCCTCAAAAGATCCTGACAAGAAAACATCAACTTGTGGGCTGGGGCTAGGGCTCAGTGGTAGGGTGCTCATGTAGCATGAGTGAGGCACTGGGTTCCATCCTCAGCACCACATAAAAATAAAAGATAAAGGTATTATGTCCTTATGTCCACCTACTACAACAACAACAACAACAACAACAACAACAAATATATATATATA